TTGGACAAAAAACGGACCCGTTTCCGCAAAAAAACGGGCCATTTTTTGGAGGTCTGCAGAGTGCAAAAACATTTTTTAAAAATTTGCCTCTTCAAAATCTTGGTGCGTCTTATACTCCGAAAAATACAGTAGTTTTCAACAAAATATCCTGGTTCTCTTAAGTCAACGTTGTTAACAGGATGTGAGTTTCTGCATGTTCAGGTCTCCCTAAGTGATGGCCCTCCATTGGGACATTATGAGCAGGATGCATGCTTTTTAATGAAACCAATCAGTCAAAACCCACATCTTGCTCTTTTCTGTCTTCAGATCTTTGTTCCCCTCTTGCTGGTTAATGCTGCTGATGACCCTTTGGTTCATGATAGCCTCTTATCAATCCCAAGAGCCCTCTCAGGTAAGGCCTAGCCTTTGCTTGAACTTTTCTTTCCAACCCTAGCAGAATGTAGAATATACTCCAAAGTGTCAAAATGAGCACAGCCCTCTCACTTCTCTTTGGATTCGATTTACAGTCATCATCATCCTCTTTTAATGACTCCATAATCCCTTGTGGGGTGGAGTCTGGGCAACTGCAATGGAGCTGTGTGATTACTGGCCGGATGCCATTCCTGTCGCCAATGCAGAGTTATATTCAGGAGATATATTTTCAGTGTGCCTGGAGAGAGAAATATCTGCCTCTTCCTAGGATCAAACTCACAGCCTCCTGATGGTGAGGCGAGAGCTCCACCTCAGAGTCACCATAACACTAATTTGATTCACAGTAATGCCCTACAGAATAAAGGCAGTCCTTGATTTACAGCCACAATCGAGCCCCAGAATTTGTTGTTAAGACAGTTGTTAAATGAGCTTTACCGCATTTTACGGCCTTCCCTGCCACAGTTGTTAAGTGAATTACTGCAGTTGTTAAGTTGTAACATGTTGTACGGTGAACCTGGCTTCCCCATTGACTTTGTTAGTCAGAAGGATGCAAAAGGGGACCATGTGATACCCCCCTGATCACATGATGATGCAATCACCATCAATATACACCAGGCACCAAATGTCTGAATTTTGATCACGTGGCCACAGGATGTTGCAACAGTCAGAAGTCCCATACATCGCTTCCCCCCTCCCCCTGTGCCATTGTAACTTAAAATGATTGCTAAGCAAATTGTTGTAAGTCAAGGACTACCTGTAGGTCTTTGGGTCACATGGAAGCAGGCTGTGGCTTCTTTTCACAGCTTTGGCCAAAAGGCGATAACATGGGACAAAAAATGTCCATGAGTTTTTCACACATTACAGTTTGCTGTGCAGGATGCCCACCCCACTTTGCAGTGTAAGAAAAGAGTTGATAGTGTTAAATCCAATATGTGGGGGGATAGAAACATCAGTTGGAGATAGTAAAAAGTGGAGTTGATTTCTATCATTTCCTGGCTTTCATTTTGACCGAAATTGGGTTTTTTATCAGGATATGACGACTGCTGTTGGTATCATTTGTGGCTGCCTATAAACCTGGCGGAGAAAACAACAAAACTTTGGGAAACAGACTTTGGCAAAGTCCCAAGCGAGTGGGGATTGCCTTCTAAACTTCATTTCTTTTTTTTCCTCTTTTCAGAAAAACAGGAGAACGTCATGTTTGTTTTACCCTTGCACGGGGGCCACCTGGGATTCTTTGAGGGCTCAGTCCTTTTCCCTGAGCCCCTCACTTGGATGGATAAGCTTGTGGTGCAATACGCAGACGCCATCTGCCAGTGGGAGAAGAATAAATCTCATTGCTCAGATACGGAACAATCATCCGGCCAAGAATAAAACAATCCCAAAGACTTTTCCAGGTTGTTTCCGACTTAGTTCTCATCTTCTTCCTTCCTTCCTTCCTGCTTTTTCCCAGGCCAAGCCTGGCCATCTTCAATGTAGGCATTTGACCGCCGTGTTTCATGCCAAAATAGAGGTAGAACACAAGATGTTGCTGTTTGGAACAGTTTGGGAGCAGGCTGGCAGGCAACGCAAGGACAAAACCCGTCCGGTCTCTTGAGAGAGGCGAGATGTTCCAACGCTTACACTTTTCACTGTTCCAAGAAAACAAGAGTAACCTCGTCTGGTTGTTGTTTTTGCAAAACTTTGCCTAGCGAGATAGAAGTGTACTTTCTCTGTGGTTATGTTTCACCTCGTTGCCACCTTAAGGAAAGGGAAAACTTTCTATATCTGCGGAAGAAACCGATAGAATCATCTCTGCGGGGGGCCCATCGGTGCAGCCGTTTGCAAAGCAGGGGAGAACGATGGGGGATTTTGAATCTCCAGGGATCTCGCCCACCCGCCCCCTCGAGGGAGGAGGAACCTCACTCTTCGGTGTTTTAATGCATTTCAAGGGTTTTCGATGGCTTTGAAAAACGTTTGGATAATCCCAGAATTCCTGACTTGAGTGCATTCAATCACAAGCTTTGCTTTCCCTCAGTGAGGCTATCCATGTAGGAAGCCTTGGGGAACTCAACAATAGATTCAAACAAGTAGCCTTTTGACCGTTGCTTTTTCTAAAACAAGGCGTTCTATTTTGAGATTTAAAAAAAAGTCATGAGTGCTCCTAACCCAGGCCTTTTAATACTGTCTGTAAGTGAAAAACCAGTGACCATCGAAGTCTGTAAGTTGTCTGTTGTTTTTTCTTTTAGAGAATTTTCATATGCGAAGGATGGAGAAAATAAAATATCCAAATTCGCCTCCCCAGCATACTACTAGAGCAGTGCAGTAAGATTTTGAAAGCCACAATTGTCTTGGTTTAAAGAGGTAGATTTTTTTTTTAATGTACTATATGCCTTAACTATTAGTGGCTTCTGCAATTCCCCGTTTCCAAAGGTGCTCATTTGAATTTTCAGCTTAGTGACATCAAACTGAGATTGGCAATTTGGGGCGAGATGCAATAATGCAGATACTGTGGAGAAGCAGGATTTTTGCTGCTGTAGGGTAGAGAAACAGATTTTAGTACTGAGCAATCCGAGCGTGGGAAAAAAAGCCACATCTTTATTCAGATATACACACAGACACACCCAATCGGAAGTCTGGATTACTTAAGACAGTGAAACGTTGCGATTAGGCTATTTTTCAACTGCAGTTTGGTTTTGAACTGTCGGTTCGGTGTTCCTTCCTTACGGCATATTTCAGTTTACATTTGAAGAGTCATTCCCCCTGCATTATAATCCCTATAATAGTTAGCACTTTATTGCTTTTACCTTTTATTTTTGCTGCCTGGACACTTTACTTATAACCAGCATTGTTTTATTTTGTTTTTTAAAAACTTGTTAGTCTTTCTTGAAAATAGGTGTATGGGGTATCTTCCCCGTCAGTTTTGAGATTCTAAAAAGTGTAACTTATGTCTGTGATGATTTCTTTCTTGTTTTTTTTTTTTAATTGAGCAATAATTGCCTGTATCAGAGGGTTCTCGCATCAGGAATCAAAGTGCTGAAGGCATTCTTGACCTGTTCAACAGACTCTGTGACTTAAGCGTAATAAATGAATTCCGATTCTATTTTGCTCTCACATAGGAAGCATTGACCACATATTTTTAAAAAATTAAGTTTCTCCCCCTCCTCCAACCTCATGGTTGCTTATCAGTCTTCTAAATTTGCTTTCTTAAAGCATTTCTTGCTACTTTCCTGGAAACCAAATCCAAGATAAGCATATGATTTTAGCTTCAGAAGAACATTTTAATGATCTCAAATGCTTATTTCCATTTAAGTAACAACCCCCTCACCACCGCTGGTTTGAATTGTTTTCTTTGCTGCAGTATATAAAATAGGAATGAACATGATTTATTTTTCATCAACTGAAAGATATATTAAAAAGCAGACTATAAGAGCCTGACATTATTTCTCATCATTTCCGTCTTCAGGCTAATAACTTTATTTAAAATAAATGTAATAAAGTTAGGCTTTTTCTAAGTCAATTCCTAATATCTTTACCTTAATGGCTGGGAATAATATATTTCAACAACCCTGAAGGAGCATCAGTTGATAAAATAATTGCTGTGGATTAAAATTATAAAATTCCTTGCAAATAAAGGCATTTACTAGCTTTTATGCTGAAGAGACTGTGAGAGTAGAGTTTGCCTTTATCTTTCTTTTTAACCAGGTGCAGATTTTGTGTGCAATAAGACAAGAAATTTAATCCTTCCTTGTTTAAATTTTGGTTGCAAGGTTGTGCAGTTGTGTAATGTAGCAATTTCAATGAGGATTGCTTTCATGACTTAAATACATTTAGAACTATTCAGCCCTTTGGAAAATAATTTTTGCTTGCTCCATACTGTAAATGTAATAAGACTCTTTACACGTCCCAGCTGTTATCAGGAAAATCAAAACTTTTTAGTAAGTCACACAGTCAAAGAAATGTCTTTTAAGTCACAAATTTGATCTTTTCTGCTGCATCAATGGAAAAAAAAAACCATATTAAATCATGGTAAATTCAATTCTAAACCCCTCTCCTCCCCCTTCCTTCCAAAAATAATTATGTAAGGAATTCTGGAATGATGAGAAATTGACCAACAAAAGATAGTTGCCAATTTATATACCTAGGTGACATTAAACCTCCTTTTTTATTTTAGTGAAACAGAATATTGCTTGAAAGTTCTTGGAAACAAATCAGGTTTTGTTTTTCCACCATCTATCTTAAACCCAGTTAAAAGGAAATCTCTGGACAAGATCTTTTTTGAGGGAATTTCTTTGCTTTGCATCTTCGGAATTTGGTGGTGGTTCCTCTGAAGATTTTTTATTTTCATACTGGAGACATTACTGCTGATATGTTTTGGGGTGAGCCCGTCGTACTTTTAATGAAGGATGCGGTGTTGAGAATTGTATGAGCCACCCCACCCCACTCCCAAATGAGCTGCTGCAGCCCAAGGGTTCATCTTGTGTCAACTTTGCCAGTTGACCAAAAGATAGAAGCCAATTCTTCCGTGGCAACCTTTGTGCTAGAATTAATGTCTTGGCAGCTTGTCTTTGCGTTAAAGTTAGCCTTGTGATGGGTCAAATGAGCATTTCCCAAGTATATGCTACTTTACAAGTGTTCCTTAGGTCTACATGTAAAAAAAAAAAAAAAAAAAGGAGTAGCCAACTAATAAGACTGTATTTCAGCTTCCATTCCTTTTCCATTTAACAATTGCTGAAATTCAGCCACATTATCTCTGCCGTCTTTAAAATAAGTACTGTAACATTGGTGCATTTAGTCTCTGGTAGCTTCATCTGTATATTGTTGTTGGTTTTTTTAACCAGGGCTGAAAATTATGGCCCCATCCTTCCAGGGATGGAACTGCTATTCCCATAGCAGCTAGATCAGTGCCTGCTTGGCTCCAGAAACATTGCCTATTTCTGATATTCCGAATTTCTGATCTAAAGGCGTATGTGATCCTGGTTCCCCAGGATCACACAACCTACTCCATATATAATCTATTAGTCCTAGATACCTGCTTGATGTGCATACGTGTGTCAAATTAAAAAAAGGAAAACATTGTTTAAAAGCACACGTCCCAAACTGTCTCACACATAGAGAGACCAAAACACGAGAGCGTTTTTTTTTTTTTGCTTAGATTGCATTGTTAGAATGATGTGAGCTCAGTTATTGTTCACTCCCTTTAGATGTTCAAGAATGGAGCTTCCAGTCCCTGGGTGGGGATTTTTATCATAGGAAAATACCTCAACAAGGCAGCTTGACTTCCAATCGGAATGAATACCCAGGCAGTAGTAGTAGTGATAATAAAAAAAAAAAAGACAATTCAAGGGGTGCATATTGTATTTTTTTTTCTCCTCCCGCCTTCTGTTTCTTTCGCATATGTTAACATGATGGTCTTAATAGCAAACCTAACTTCACTTCCTGCAGATATTTTTAATCAAGAGCAAAAGGCAGCTGGGTTGCTGGTTAGAGCAACCGTTGAAAAGGGAGAATTTTTTGCTCGCTTTAAAAAGGAAAAGATTCTCATCCAGCGCTTGGGCTGGAATGGGAGCTCTTCGCCTTCTTTGTTCTTTGCAAAACTACCTTTTGTGCTATATGTGTTTCTGCCTGGAATTAATTTGATTAAGTCTGTCTCTTTTCTTTTCCTTGAAGTGTCCTTGATGAAATTCATGGTGAAATAAAAATAAATCAACTGGGGAGCTGGGGAAGAATCTCCTTGGAGAACTATGTTGTATTCCATTTTAAATGTTCTGTTCTTTCTGCTGGTTTCATTCAAGGGCACAAGCCCACACGGGCAGCATTTGGCTAAGCTGGAACAGAGTATTGCCATCCCCCTTCCTTTTTTTCCCCTCTTTTGTCTACAGGAGGATATGTTGTTTTTATTTCCTTTTCAGATCCTCGGGTCCTAGGACCACTAAAGTCCCAGCAGCTTTACTTGATTCCAGTCTTAGTGGAACACGACTATTCCCTCCCCCCCACCCTTCAAGATTCCTGAACTGTGGACAAAAAAACCCCTTGTCTTTGAGGGCACGGCGTTTATGTTGCTTTTGTTTTGATGTTGTATCCAGTAAAACATCTGGGTTTGTACAAACAATCGTGCCATTATCCAGAGAGGTCCAGTTTCATATCAAGAGTAGAAAGTCATAACATTGCTTGAAACATATGAGAAATTAACCCACTAAAGGGGTTGTATCCGTACTTTTAATTTTCTGGCCTTACAAGCTAGCGTCATTCCAGCTGTTTAGAATGGGTTGCGTTTGAGAGCAAATCCATGTAGGCGTTTTGGGAAATCTGTTCTCCTTTTTTTTTTAAAAAAAAAAGCACAATTTTTAAAGAGGGGAAATCCTGATTTATTATGCTATTTCCCCCCCTCTTCTTTTCCTCTTGGAACATGTCCTAATAGGTCAGTGTTTCTCAACCTTGGCGACTTTAAGTCCTGTGGATTTCAACTCCCAGAATCCCCCAGCCAGCATTCTGGGAATTGAAGTCCACAAGACTTAAAAGTCACCAAGGTTGAGAAATATTGCAATAGAGGGACCCAACACCTCAGGAAGCTAGACCTGTACCTGTGCTGTTTTTCATTTGTGTCACTGCAGCTGCCTTATTGGAGTAAGTTGACCGTTTTTGCCTCCCCCCCCCCTTTTTTTTTTTTTAAAAAAAGCTGTTGGACTTCGATTCTGATTTATTTTTTGATTCCGAGACCTATTTTGGGAACCCCTTACTTCCACAATCCCAAATTCTTTTTGGAAATATAAAAATGCTGCCCTGGGGAATTTGTGTGTGTGTTTGTGTGTGTGTGTGCGCGCGCGTGATCCTCGCTACCTGTTGTCTGCGGGATGACATTTTGCAACTAGCAATGCAATTTTTTTCTAAATCTGCTAATCTTTCCAGTTTAGAAAAGTGTGTCCTTGATATATTTCTTTCTTTTTTTGTTCTGTGTGTGATCAATCGAAGCTATTGCAGAACAGTAATTTTGTTATTTGATTCAATGGAATTTCTTTGCTTAAAAAAATAAAGACATTAACTGAGTTCGCAAACAGGATGGTGTCTCATCGTTTATCTTTACGTGGACAGGAATAAGTAGACTTGGAATTTTGATTTCCTCTATGTCTTATTTTCCCCCAGAGGTCAAACTACCAAAACAAACAAACAGGCAGAATTGTTATTGGGTGGCACAGCCAAATTCATTGGTGTTATTTCCGATACTTACTGTAACTGCAAATAATCACTCTCTGTTCAATATGCACATTGAACAAACACATATTTTAACCTGAAATAGTTTATTGTTTATAGTATCTGAAATTAGAATACCATATAAACTTCTGGAGAATAGTAACCAATGGATGGTCCCATTTTAAGGTTGACAAATGTTGAATGTTAAGAGGGATAATCTTGAAGATACATAATTTATTGTTTTACACATTTAACTTAGCTCACCATTTATAATCGACTAGAAATGTTGTAGTGTAATTTAACTTTTTGTGTGTTTCCCAACTTAGGAAGCATGAAGTGAAATAATGTAATACAGCATCTATAGCAGATAGTTCCAGATTTCTCATAAAATCAGCTTACAAACAGATTAGTATTTTTTTGTATGTGTTAGTGGCATTTTGGCCAACATGCTTATATGCTATAAAGAGACAACTGTACTGCTCAATGTAAAAAGAAATAATAAGATTAGTAATAATAGGAGCCTAAAAAAATAGTAGGAAAATTTAAAAATATCGTGCGTCTGGGAATTTACGAAATATCAATAAACCAGAAGAAAAATAATTTGAAGGGAACAGAATGTGAGACCAAAACACCGGGCAAAGTTGTATATAACAAAGGTGATTTTTGAAAAACAGTTTCTCTTCTACATGGAACAAACACAGTGGCAGCGTTCACAAGACTTCGAATTTAAAGGCCTGATTAAATAAGTACAGCACGTTGCTAGATTGCAAGGAGTCAGTTTAATTTCCTCTCCCGGTTCTCAGGAACAAAAAAAAAAAAATGTTTAAATTTTTCTGTGAGTTTGGGGAGGATTGTTAGGCCCTGTCTGGGTTTGGAGCAAACTACAAGTTGTGGTTCAGTGGCTAAGACGCTGAGCTTGTCAATCAGAAAGACCGGCAGTTCGGCGGTTTGAATCTCTAGCACCACATAACGGAGTGAGGTCCCGTTACTTGTCCCAGCTTCTGCCAACCTAGCAATTCAAAAGCAGGTAAAAATGCAGGTAGAAAAATCGGAACCACCTTTGGTGGGAAAATAACAGCGTTCTGTGCACCTTCGGCGTTTAGTCATGCCGGCCACATGACCATGGAGACGCCTTCAGACAGTGCTGGCTCTTTGGCTTTGAATTGGAGATGCACACCGCCCCCTAGAATTGGGAATGACTAGCACATATGTGTGAGGGGACCCTTTACCTTTACAAGTTGAAAAACTAAGGAATCCAGCTGTTCCCAGCTATCCGCTAACTTTGAGAAATGGAGGTCTCAGTCTCGCCCTTCCCCTGGGGGAGTTAATGTCTGAGAGATGGCAAAAAAACATCTGACCCCATCTCTTCCCCTCTGCTCTGGTTCTCCATGTCTCCCAGAGAGTGAATTTATGCTACGGAGGTGGGCAGAAAGCTCCCCCACTTCTCTCTGCAGCTTCAGGGCGTATGTCCTGTTTAGCTTGAGTCAGCGCCAGTCTTGTCCTGAATGACCCTCTTGTAGGTTTCTTCCAATGGTTTCTATTTCGGAGTTATCCCTGTTGGCCTGTTCCACCAACTAAACAAGCCTAGCATTTAAGCCACGTGGAGCAGGATAGGGAAAGAGAGAGTGACCGTTGCAGATCTGATTTCATGGAAGGAGAACAAGAAAGGACTTCTCTTCGGAGAGCATTCTTGCTTTCCATGTATGGCCTTGAGAAACCACAAGCGGGTATCGCCCCAAGCGGAGGATATGTGGATAATGTTGTGGCCTGCCAGCAGAGCTGGCAGCAGATTCGGACATTGAGGTGGTTGGGGAGAAACATCGGAGAGTCCTGGAGTCTGGGGAAGGCTCTGATGAGGGCCCTGTGTCGGAGGCAGAGATGGGGCCAGAGCCGTATGCCAGTTATCAGCTGCCTTCAGAGACATCACTGAGGCAGAGGAAGAGCTGGAGCCTCTTTCCAGTGTGCGCATGCCAGACAAAGGGAGCAGCTAAAGAACAGGGGTCGACTTGGGAGGAAGGCCACAGGTGGACGATGAATGGCCCCTCCCAGAGGAAATAAAAGAGGAGCGAAAGGGGAGCGGAGTTTGCAGGAGACAATTAGTTCCCTTAATTGTGGTTCAGGACTCTCTGAGACTCCTTGCCAAGTTTTGCAGATATCAGCCTGTCAGCTGTCCAAGCCAGATAAGGTCTGTGACTGTAAATCCTCCTTTGAAAGACTTTGCTGGATGTGAATGAATCCACAGTAAATTAATAAAAGGTTTTTTTTTGTCAGAACAAGGAGTTGGCTTAATGCTCTTGGGAAGCCTAGGTCAGAACAGTTAAGTAGGTTAACTGATCGTGTCTCTCTAAGCTGCTGGTTTGAATTTTGCTGGAGAAATTGCAATGAACCACTGTCTTTAAAACTGAGCATCTGACAGAGGAGAAGTGGAATGTTTCCTTCTGTGTGAGATGGCCAGATAAGATAACCATCTTCAGATGCATGTGACTGAAGGACCCACTAACCAAACCACTACCCCTCCCCCCTACAGCCTGGCCCCTTCTCTAGGATTATCTTGAGGAATGAGCAGGAAAGACCAATGAGAGGCAGACGGAGACTGCAGCCAAGAAATTAAAAGATGTTGCTCCTGGGGAGGAAAGCTATGGCAAATCTAGACAGGATACTAAAAATCAGAGACATCAAGCTGCCAACAAAAGTGCGTATAGTCAAGACTACAGTTTTCCCAGTTGCAATGTATGGCTGTGAAAGTTGGACCATAAGGAAGGCTGCGTGCCAAAGAATGGAGGTCTTTGAACTCTGGTGCTGGAGAAGACTCCTGCGAGTCCCTTGGATTGCAAGGCGATCAAACCGGTCAGTCCTACAGAAGATCAATCCTGACTGCTCTTTAGAAGACCAGATCCTGAAGATGAAACTCAAATACTTTGGCCACCCAATGAGAAGGAAGGACTCCCTGGAGAAGAGCCTCATGCTGGGAAAGACTGAGGGCAAAAGAAGAAGGGGACGACAGAGAATGAGGTGGCTGGATGGATTCACTGAAGCTGTCGCCGTAAGCTTGAATGGACTCCGGAGGATGGTAGAGGACAGGAAGGCCTGGAGGAACATTGTCCATGGGGTCACGATGGGTCGGACACGATTCACAACTAACAACAATACAAAAAGTATTTTTGAAGGGGATGAAGTTTTTAAGAGGCTGCAAAGTTTCACGATTGTTCTTAGCTGAGACTTTGCCACCTTTTCAGGAGGAGGAGATTAGAATCTTGAGGGATTTCAGGCAGGCATGAGTTGATGGCCATTCCGGGGAAGAAAAATGCACAGGCTGTTCAGAAAAACTGCAAGATGATGCTTGACTTACGTAAGCAGGAGGGGTTTATTGTTGGTTATATTTGAAGAAGGAGAAAGCATAGACCTCCCATAATGCAAAGTCAGGGCTCTGTCTTTGAGGTACGCTTCTTCCCCCGGGGATGAGCTGAAACCCAATAAAGTAAGCAAAAGAAGACAAAAGTACATCTGTCTCCGATTTGCCCAGCCTAATTGTTTAAAGCACGTTGGTCTTTTAAAGCACAGAGCGTACAAACAATCCTCGTGATTGGCACATTTAGTTTACTAAAGCAACTTAAGCCAAAAGCATGCACGCTATTGGAGCCATTTCTGTTGGCTACAAAGCTTGTGTTTACACGGGGAAAAAATATTTCAGTTGGCCTGCAAGTTTCTTCAATGACTTCCTATTCTATTCCAGAGGAATTCTTCCCCTGCCCCTCCACGCACATAACTTAGAACCATCTTCCAACGTCCATTAACATTGTGTGATCTTAAAATATACAACTCTGAATGAAGACATACTTTTCCAATGCCCCAATCCGAATAAGGCTAGTTCTAAACTGGTATATTGGACACGCCAGTGGTTGGGCTCAAAATGAACCAAACTAGCCATAGTGCCTTCTTTGTAGATCCCCATTGATCAGTGGTCTATGATCGTCTTCAGTTTGCTTTCTTATCCTCACTAGGGAAGACTGAGCTAGGATGACAGCACATATTTTTGGAGGCGGGGAGGTTAGGGGGGGTGGGCTCTTCCTTTGATGGCTGAAAGAGGGTGAAAATGAGGAATGAAAGAGATAGGGCTTATGATCACAATCTACATTTAGGCAAGAAAAATAAAATGCACAAGCACAGTATATGTGGCACCTTGCGCAATAGTAGTAACTGTGAGCGGGATCTTGGAATCCTAGTGGACAACCATTTAAATATGAGCCAGCAGTGTGCAGAAGCTGCCAAAAAAGCCAACACAGTTATAGGCAGCATAAACAGTGGGATAGAATCAAGATCCCGTGAAGGGTTAATACCACTTTATAAGGCCTTGGTAAGGCCACACCCCCTAACCTCCCCGCCTCCAAAAATATGTGCTGTCATCCNTGACCGTTTGGATGGCCTTGCAGTCCAAGGGACTCGCAGGAGTCTTCTCCAGCACCAGAGTTCAAAGGCCTCCATTCTTATGGTCCAACCTGCACAGCCATACATTGCATCTGGGAAAACCACCACACCTTGACTAGACACACTTTTGTTGGCAGGGTGATGTCGCTGCTTTTTAGGATGCTGTCTAGATTTGCCATAGCTTTCCTCCCTAGGAGCAAGCGTCTTTTAATTCCTTGGCTACAGTCCCCACCTGCGGTGATTTTGGAGCGCAGGAAAATAAAATCGGTCACTACCTCCATTAAAATCTGTCACTACCTCCAAAGGTAATCATTAAATCAGGGATCCAAAGCTGGCTTGCACTACCCTTCCCCAAACTACATCATCTGCCAATGGTACTGCTGCCACCAGTTTGTGCCCGTTTTGATTTTTAATGTCTAATTTATTTATTTCATTTATACCCTGCCGTTCCGCTCTTAGGCAGCTAAGAAAGTGAAATTGTTTGTGCCCGAAAGAGCGTCTTGCATAATCAAAAACCCATCCGTTATTTTTGCTTCACTGGCTAATTTAAGCTCGTCTGCAAAATAGGTTACATGGATTATTAATGGCTTCAAAATCTTATACCGGCTGCTATGAAAAAGCTGATGTCATCCTCGCCTACAACTCGCCTATCAATACACAACCGTCGTATTTTTAAGCATCTTAAAAGCAGCCGTTAAGAAAATACACATCGAAATCCAAACAAATGAAGCTTTTTTCAACCAAAGAGAGGAACCTTAGGAATTTGCTGATCTGTTGATATCTCTGTTTACATCCTTTGTTTCTACATCTTGTATCCAAAGCTATCGAGAACAATAAAAAACACCATATTGTAAGGCGGTTTATTATTTAAAAAACAGAGAGGCGGCGGGAAAGAGTCGGTCCACAATGCAAAGGAGAATATGCTTGCTTGGGGAGGCCTTTAGTTTTCCAAGCCTGATCCAAAGCAGTTTTTAAAAATGTTTAAATTAATTGGAGATGTAACCAGATAGTAGTAGTATAGCCTTAATTGTCATGGTACATCATGTATACAATGAAATTGGTTTGTTGATGATGAGGGCATCAAATCAAATCAAATCTCTTACAGCCAGAAGGCCAAGAGGAAACAGGGGCCAGTTTCAGAAGATTGCAAAACAAAATCCTCTTTCAATATACACAATGGAGGAATAATCGAATCAATAATTTCACTTTCGTCTTTATCTTCTTCACCGTCATTCCCTACGTTCTTCTTTTTTCATTGTCCTCTTCCTCTTTTTCTTCATCACTTTCTTCTCCCTCCTCTGCAGTTTGTACTTCTCACTTTCTTCTTCACCACGACTTGGTTCTTCTAGTTCACCTTCCTCTTCTCCATCTCTACAGTCCTTTCCCCATCCTCTTCTTCTCACTTGATCCTTCACCACCATCTTATTCATCTCCACATTCCTCCCATCCTTTTCTTCCTCTTCCCCATCTCTTTGTTCCTCTTCTTCAGTTTTCTGCTCCTCTTCTCCATCTTTAGTCTTCCTCCTCATTTCTCCAGCCTCATATTTGCTCTATCTCTGAGCTGGGGGAAAGGGGACCACCAGGAGATCCTGGGTGCTCTATGAGCCAGGGAAAAGGGAACCACCAGGGGATCCTATAGGTTGAGGATCTTGGTCTCTCTGAGCTGGGGAAAAGGGAACCACCAGGAGACCCTCAACATCATCCTGTCCTTTTCATCATCTCCACATTCCACTTTTCTCCTCTTCTTCGCCATCACTTTATTCCTCTTCTTCTCCATTTTCAGTCTTCCTCCTTCTTTCACTGTCCTCCTTTTCACATGGTCCTCCACTATCATCTTGTCTTCTTCTCCATCTCCACATTACTCCCAGCCTTCATCCCTTTCTTCCTTCTCTTTATTTTCTTCTTCTCCATCTTGACGTTTTCCCCTCTTCCTCCTTCTCCATCAAGACTTTGTTCCTCTTTTTCTCCATCCTCTTCTTCACACTCACCTCGTCTTCATTCTCTCCAGTCTTCTCATCCTTCATCCCATTCTTCCTGTTCATCTTCACCCTCACTTTGCTCCTCTTCACCTTCCTCCTCTTCTTCTCCTTTCTCCCGCCTCCTCTTCCCACTTGCTCCTCCACCGTCATCTTCTCTTCTTCTTCATCTCCACATTCATCTCCATTCTCCATCCCACCTTTCTTCTTCATCATCAAGACTTTTGTTCCTCTTCTCCACCTTCCTCCTCTTTGGCTTCATCTTTTTTCCATCCTCTTCTTCTCACTTGCTCCTTCACCCTCACTTTGTCTTCATCGTCTCCACAGTCTTTCCATCCTCCATCCCTTTCATCTTCACCCTCACTTTGTTCTTCTTTTCCACTTTCCCTCCTCCTTCCTCCTCCTCTTAAGAGGACTTTGTTCCTCTTCCCCATCTTCAGTCTTCCTCCATCCTCTTTTTCTTCTCACCTGCTCCTTCACCCGCATCTCAGTCTTCCCATTCTTCATCCCATTCTTGCCCTTTCATCTTTACACTCACTCGGTTCCTCTTCTCCACCTTCCTCCTCTTTGACACTCCTTCCTCCTTTCCTCTCCTCTCTTCTTCTTCTTCCTCCTCCACCTTCCGCCTTTCCTTCCTCTTCTTCCTCCTCTTCGCCCTCTTCCTCCACTCATTTTCTTCTTCTTCCTTCCTTCCTCATCTTCTTCCTTCTCCTGCTCTCCTTTCTTCTTCCTCCTCCTCCTTTTGTTCTTCTTCCTCTTCTCCTTTCTTCTTCTTCCTTCCTCCTTTTCCTCCACCTCTTGTTCTTCTTCCTCCTCCTCTCCTTTTTCTTCCTCCTCCTCCCCTCCTTTCTTCTTCTTCTTCCTCTTCCTCCCCTTTCTTCTTCTTTTTTTCTCCTCCTCCTCTCCTCCTTTCTTCTCCTCCTTCCTCTTCCTCCCCTTTCTTCTTCTTTTTCTTCTTCCTCCTCCCCTTTCTTCTTCTTCTTCCTCCCCTTTCTTCTTTTTCTTTCACCTCCTCCTTCCCTCCTTTCTTCTTCTCCTTCCTCCCCTTTCTTCTCCTTCTTTTTCTCCCTCCTCCTCTTTTCCCCAGCCGCCCGCCCGCCCGGCAAAAGCCCAGCCCCTCCTCGGGGCCAGCGCACCCTGTTCCTCGCGCCCGCCCGCCCGGCCTTTCCAGGAAGCGCCGCCGCCGCCGCCATGCATTGTGGGGCAGCGGCAGCAGATCCAAGATGGCGGCCAGCAGGAGGCTGATGAAGGTAACATCCAGGCTGAGGCCGCCGGGCCGGCGACGGGGCGAGAGNCCAGATCCTGAAGAGGAAACTCAAGTACTTTGGCCACCTAATGAGAAGGAAGGACTCCCTGGAGAAGAGCCTCATGCTGGGAACGATGGAGGGCAAAAGAAGAAGGGGACGGCAGAGAAGGAGGTGGATGGATGGAGTCACTGAAGCAGTCGGCGTGAGCTTCAATGGACTCCAGAGGAAGGTAGAGGACAGGAAGGCCTGGAGGAACGTTGTCAGTGGGGTTGCGATGGGTCGGACACGACTTCGCAACTAACAATAACAACAAAATACAAGGAAAAATTAAAATAGGAAATTGGGGAGAAAAAAATATATGAGGGGGGGGAGGAAAAAAAATTACCGACTCTTTTTAGGATAACATTCCAGCCTCAATGTTTTACGTTTTACACATTCGTATATAACTAGCCATTTCTAGAACAATAAATCTTTCTAATGGGCAAAAAGTCCAAGTTTCATTTTTTTTTTTCATCACAAGCACAAAATCCAGAGGAAATATCCAAATAAAAAACATAAATAAATATATCCTCAATTTAACTATTTCTGCTTTACCTTCTTTACTGTGGAAATTATACACACGTTCACACACACAGCATATATGCACACATATATTTTACATACGCATACATACATACTATCATTTACTATAAAGATTACTTAATCATCTTTATAAACTATCACCTTTTTAAAAACTTCCCCTTAACATAAATACCTACATTAAAGCTCACTTTCAGACCAATAAAATTCCAAGTAACTCCAACTAACTCATTAAATTGAAATCACTCCAAGTTAAAAGGTAAAGGTTCTCCCTCACACATATGTGCTAGTCGTTCCTGACTCTAGGGGGCAGTGCTCATCTCTGTTTCAAAGCTGAAGAGTCAGCCCTGTCTGAAGACGTCTCCGTGGTCATGTGGCCGGCATGACTCAATGCAGAAGGTGCGCGGAACGCTGTTACCTTCCCACCAAAGATGATTCCTATTTTTCTAATTGTATTTTTTTACGTGCTTTTGAACTGCTAGGTTGGCAGAAGCTGGGACGAGTAGCAGGAGCTTACTCTGTTATGCGGTGCTAGGGATTCGAACTGCTGACCTTTCAATCGACAAGCTCAGTGTCTTAGCCACTGAGCCACCGCCCCTCTAGGAAAGGATGTCTTTCTTGTAAACATCCTTCTTAAACGCTCTAAAATTTTCTTTTAAGCTAAGTCCTCACTCTTATGACCATCACAGCACCCCATCATATGATCAAAATTAGGGTGCTCGGCGATCCACACATATTTACGATGGTTGCAGAATCCCAGGGTCACATGATCATCATCAGCTGGCTTCCACCACGCGAAGTCAATGGGGGGGGGGACCAGATTCATTTAACGACAGCATGAGTCACTTAATGACTGCAGGGATTTGCTTTAACAACAGAGGCAAAAAATGTCCTATGCAGTTGGGTGTGACTCACCAACCGCCTTGCTTAGCAGCAGGAATTCTGTTCCCAATTGTGGCCGTTAAGTCAAATACTTCCTGTACACTTTCTACCTGTGTTATCAGACAAGCTAAAGGTAATCAATAAATCAGGGTTTGTGTTCCTTGTTATTGTTGTTAGTCGTGAAGTCGTGTCCAACCCATTGCGACCCCATGGACAACGGTCCTCCAGAACTTCCTGTCCTCTACCATTCTCTGGAGTCCATTGAAGCTCACGCCGATTGCTTCGGTGACTCCATCCATCCTCCTCCTTCTCTGCCGTCCCCTTCTTCTTTTGCCCTCCATCGTTCCCAGCATGAGACTCTTCTCCAGGGAGTCCTCATTAGGTGGCCAAAGTCTTTTGAGTTTCCTCTTCAGGATCTGGCCTTCTAAAGAGCAGCCAGGGTTGATCTCTAGGACTGACCGTTTGGATGGCCTTGCAGTCCAAGGGATTCGAAGGAGACTTCTCCAGCACCAGAGTTCAAAGGCCTCCATTCTTTGGCTTCCTTCCTTCTCATTAGGTGGCCAAAGTCTTTTGAGTTTCCTCTTCAGGATCTGGCCTTCTAAAGAGCAGCCAGGGTTGATCTCTAGGACTGACCGTTTGGATGGCCTTGCAGTCCAAGGGACTCGCAGGAGTCTTCTCCAGCACCAGAGTTCAAAGGCCTCCATTCTTTGGCTTCCTTCCTTCTCATTAGGTGGCCAAAGTCTTTGAGTTTCCTCTTCAGGAACTGGCCTTCTAAAGAGCAGTCAGGGTTGATCTCCTCTAGGACTGACCAGTTGGAAGATCTTGCAGTCCAAGGGACTCGCAGGAGTCTTCTCCAGCACCAGAGTTCAAAGGCCTCCATCCTTTGGCGCTCAACCTTCCTTATGGTCCAACCTTCACAGCCATCCATTGCAACTGGGAAAACCACAGCCTTG